CTGCTGTGGCCTCTCCTGTTGCGGAGCACAGGCTCCGGACGCGCAGGCTCAGAGGCCATGGCTCACGGACCCAGCTGCTCTGAGACATGCGGGATCTTCCCGGACCGGGGCACGAACCCGTGTGCCCTGCATCGGCAGGTGGACTCTCAACCACTGCGCCACCACGGAAGCCCAGGCTGGTAATTTTTATGCCACGATGATTACTGGTTTTTCCAATAGTCCCCCTCATCTCCCCCCAGCTCACAGCTGCTATGATTGCGCATGCACACACACACACACACACACACACACACACACAGACACACACAGACACACATACACACACTTCTTTCCAGAGTCATTTACCCACCTATACATCCATGTTTTATCCATCCTTCTATCCACACACTTAGGCATCAATTCATCCATCCTTCCCTTCAACCAGAATTATTCATAATCCATTCTTCCATCACTAAGCATCCACCCATCATCTATCTGTAGGTCTATCTGAAAACATTCAGTGCACCAGGTTTGGCCTGTGCTAGGTGTTAGAGACTAAACAGGCAAAGTCCCCATCCCTCAAGGAACTTGAATTCTGGGGGAGGAGCAGACACCTAAGCAATTACAATGCAGGGCAGGTAGCACCACAATATACATGAGTGAGGACAGAGTGGTTTAGAGCCACAGGAGGGGAGCAACTAACTGCTTGAGGATCATAGGAGGAATTTTTTCAAAAAGATGACATTGAGCTGGGTACTGAAGGATGAATAGGAGTTCCCCAGGCCTAGAAGTGGGAAGAGAGGTAGCATCCAGGCCAGGGAGTGTGAAGAGGCAGGGGCTGTCAGGGGCTCTGAGAGCTTCTGCTCTGAAATGTACTACCACCCCCTCTACCCAGGGAGCACACTGGTCTCCATGAGGAATTTTCTGCTGATGCCCAGTCTGGTGAGGCCAGGGGTTGCAAACTCAAATACCACAAGGGCCAGGGCCCCTGGGTGACTGAAGGTCATCTGCTCCATCCACAGGGGGCAGCTGCTACTCAGCTCCAACGAGATGGCTGCTGTGTGAAAGGGGCAGGTCCGGTGTGGCTGGATAGTCTGAGTTTTATAGACAAACCAGAGATTTTCATTAGTCCATGAATTCTCTCAGTGCTTAAGTGTTGGCAACTAATTTCGTGAAGGATAAAACAAAACGAATCTGGGAGCTGAATGGCGGCCTCCAGGATGCCAGTTTGCAATTTCCAGATAGATAGAGCCCCTCAGACAGAAACAGGCTGTGGCCTTGAAGCCCCAGAGAGTGGCAGTGGTCCTGGGGTCCCCCTGCCCCGTCTCAGCAGAGATGCTGCAGAGGTGGGTGCAGGGCCCTGGAGCTCTGCTCCTTCTTCTGGCCTGTATTCTTCTTCTCGGGATGTCTGCCCACCCCCGGTGGCATCCTACAGTCCACTGTGCCAACCAGCATCCCTGGTTGTGCTAGGGTGGCAGGTGGCTAGTGGGACAAGGCATTGGTCTGAGGTCATGTCCAAGCAGCCTCCCATTCCTGGGGTCAGCAGCTAAACACTGACTTTCTGGGAGGCAGGGGGCTGCGAGCTGGGGCTGCTGAGTGAGGGCCAGGAGTGCGCCCTCCCCGCAGCAAGCTGTTCCCGGGGGGGCCCCCTCCCTCCCTTCATCCAGCTTTAATCTCAACAGGCTTAACTGCCATCTGGTCACCCAGCTCACAAAGAAGCTGAAGGTACTCCGGGCTAATCCTGGCTGGTGGAGGTAGGGAGGGGGTGACCTTCATCCCCTTGCTGGTGACTTGGAGACCAAGCTGAACCATTCCTGCCCCTTCACTTTCCCAGTGGTGTGTCTTTACTGGAGTTGCGGTGCAGGAGCCTGAGATGGGCCATCTCAGGACCCAGCCCCTAGAGAGCGGTTCTCAGAGCTCGTCTGTGGGGCATCCCAGCTCACAGATGGGGCAGCTGAGGCCTAGGATGGCCTAAAATGCCACAGGCCTTGCCTGAGGCCAAGCAGCTGATTTTCCTAGCCTTCTTCCACCCTGAGGGTGGCCACCCCAGCTCTTGGTGCTGGGTGAAGCTGTGATGAGCTGGCCCTATATCTGTGCCATCTCATTTATTTAACCCCTACACCACCCTATCAGATAGGTGCAATCCAGGGGATGGGAGCTCAGGGAGCTGCAGTGACCTGGACTCACTGCCAGTCAGCAGCACCATCAGGACACCAACCTGGCCCTCTTGGGCCCAGAGCCCTGCTCCTGCCACAGCTCTCCATGCTCCCATCCCTGCAGGTCACAGGCTTCACGGACTGAGGGTCTCCTTGGGAGAGAAACCCGTTTGAGTTGACCACAAGGGCCAGCAAGAGGCAGCACAGCATTGCGGCTACGGCATGGTCCCCGGAGCTGGGTTTGAATCCTGACTCTCATTTCTTAGCTGTGTGACCTTAAGCAAATCACTTAACCTCTCTGGGCTCTAGTTCCCACATCTCTAAGATGGGGAGAATAGTAGGGCCTCCCTCATTGGGTCACCTTAAGGATTAAAGGAGCTAATAGGTGTAGCGTGCTCTCCCTGGCACACAGGTAACCACAGTGATTAGTGGGGGTACGCTGGGGTGATGAGTAGTAACGGCCATGGGGCAGGTGTAGGGAGAGAGCAGAAGTCCTGCTCTGGGGGGCCCCAGAGTGGGGTTCTCTGTGGCCCAGCTGGCTCTGAGCAGACAGCCGGATGCCATCCGCCCAATTTTCCCCACAGCACACAGGGGTCTACCCCATCCTGTCCCGGAGCCTGCGGCAGATGGCGGAGGGCAAGGACCCCACTGAGTGGCACGTGCACACGTGTGGGTTGGCCAACATGTTCGCCTACCACACACTGGGCTATGAGGACCTGGATGAGCTGCAGAAGGAGCCGCAGCCACTGATTTTCGTAATAGAGCTGCTGCAGGTGTGACCCTGGGGCATGGGAGGCGGGGTAGGTACTGTCCCAGCATCAGAGAGCACCAGGGGTCACTGGACATCACCCAGTTCCTCTTCAGAGAACGATAAAGGGTTCATACACCACAGGGGAACTGGAATTGGGCCCCTCCCCACCCCCCCCAGAAAACGGTACTTTGCCTTTTCCAGGGGAAAAGCCCTTTTGGGACTAATTTTTAAAAATGTTATTTTTTTCTTGGAGGCATTTTATTTCTATTGGTTATCTACTTCCATTTTTTTCCAAAAGTCTAGAATTACATCCTCAGCCCCAGTCCCTATGGTTTGTGGGTTCCGATCTCATTCTCCAATAGTGGGAGAGGCTGCATGGAACCATCCACAGTCTCTCCCCCAGACCCCAGAATGATTGATGGCCCTTGTCTGTGGGGTGGTGGGAGAGGCTCACACCAGGGCAGGACTCAGCTAATGGCCAAGGCTGAGGCTCAGCCTGAGGGTTACATGGGTGAGTGCAAATAAATAAGAACTGTGCCACCAAGGGGCCTGCTTGAACAGTTGTGCGGCTTGTGCACTGCAAGAGGGCATCCCGTCTAAGGTGCTCATTAGAGACATTATATATTTGTGCTTTTATAATAATATTTTCCCAACAGATGGCAATAAAGTGTCCTGTTCTAATGAAATGAGTATCATGGCAATTTTCTGAATATTAGAAGTAAAGTGTGTTGACAAAGGAGTACCTTTTCTTAATTTGCACAAAGGTTCTGATCTAGGGTAAGGCCCTGGGTGGGGGGCTTGTTGCTTCCTTCCCCTGTTTGTATGTGTTTGGCCAGCAAGCATGATTCTGCCCGCAATCTTCACTGTGGAAAATGAAGAGCTGATTTCAGCAAGATGTGCTGGGTCCACTTACTCTGGTCCCCTGCAAGGGAAAGGGACTGCCCTGCTGGGCTTCGAGCACTCGGGGTCCCTGCCTTACTGACCTGCAGCTCTTGGGGCAGGTGGAGGCCCCCAGCGAGTACCAGAGGGAGACCTGGAACCTGAGTAAAGATGAGAAGATGCAGGCGGTGCCCATTCTCCATGGAGAAGGAAACCGGCTCTTCAAGCTGGGCCGCTACGAGGAGGCTTCTACCAAGTATCAGGAAGCCATCGTCTGCCTGAGGAACCTGCAGATCAAGGTGGGAGGCTGCCCGCCAGCGGGTTGGGAAGTGGGGTGCATGTGGGCGGAGCAACCCTGCACTGGCCCTGGCCGCGGGCGAGAGGGGTGGGGGCAGGGCAGCAGCAGACCTTTCTTCACCGGGCAGGAGAAACCCTGGGAGGTGCCGTGGCTGAAGCTGGAGAAAATGATCAACACCCTGATCCTGAACTACTGCCAGTGTCTGTTGAAAAAGGAGGAATACTATGAGGTGCTGGCGCACACCAGTGACATCCTCCAGCACCACCCAGGTGGGCGGCGTGAAGCGGGTCCGGGGTTGGGGGTGGGGGGGAAGGTGTCCAATCCCGCCCAGGGTCCCAGAGTCACGTGCACAGACCTCGGGTGGCCTTCTCTTCTGACCCTGTCGGCATCAAAACTCTGCCTCCACGCAGCAGGGTTTTCCCAAGCCTATAACGATATCACAGATAATGGATGAGCTGTGCTTATTGTGGGAGGTGTTTTATTTTAAGGTGCATTGGGGCAAAATATAAGCAGCTCACCAAACTTGTGTGGAGCAGTAAACGGGTTTTAAAAATGGGAGCAATCAATACAGAGAATATTAAGTACATTCTAGGATCCGTGATGCGCGGATATGGCGATACTTGTGAAGACGATGTTTGAGGAACGTTACAAGATCACTTACTCTGCGTCACACGCTAAATTCTCTGCATTTATCATTTCATTTAATCCTTATAGTGACCATAAGGGACAGGTGCAGGGATTGGGCCTGGAGCTTGCACCATTTGGGGCGCTTCTGTAAGAAAAGAATAGAAAGTTGTGAATGTAAAAGAAGTTGCAGGGCCTTGGAAGGGTCCGCGGAAGGGCGGGAAGTAGGTACTGCGATTATTATCGTCCGTACTTTATAGTGGAGGAGACGGGCTCTGGAGGTACAGAGAGGTTAAGGCTCAGGGTCAAGGTTAAGGGTTGTGTAAGCTGGTCAAGCCCCGCCGGGCGCGGGGTCGGGGCTGCCTCTGGGGCTGGGTGGCGGGTCCAGCTGGATCTTCCCCGCAGGCATCGCGAAGGCCTACTACGTGCGGGCCCGGGCTCACGCCGAGGTGTGGAATGAGGCAGAGGCCAAGGCTGACCTGGAGAAAGTGCTGGAGCTGGAGCCGTCCATGCGGAAGGTGGTGCGCAGAGAGCTGAGTCTGCTGGAGAACCGCCTGGAGGAGAAACGCGAGGAGGAGCGGCTGCGCTGCAGGAACATGCTGGGCTAGTGCGCAGGCGCCAGACCTCCCGCCTCCGGCCCCCGCCTCCATTGGCCCCTCCCCCTACCCACCCCAGCCCGCCGCTTCGCCGCACACTGACCCTTCCGCCCCAGCCGGACAGCAGTGTCACTTTTTAAACTTAATTTTAAAAGGCAAAATAATGCATGTGTCGACTGAAAAAGTAGTGCACAACCTAGAGGTTGAGAATTATGTTTTATTCAGCGGACTTTCTGAGGACTCCCGCCCCAGAAGACAGCCTCTCAGATAGCCCTGAGGGGCTGCTCCGAAGAGGTAAGGGAGGAGCCAGGATGTACAGGAGTTTTTGCAGCAAAGACCAGATAGTCGGAACTTCAAAAGATTACCGTTAATGAAAGAAAATCAGACGTCTCAAGTTAATGAGTTTAGCACTTTTCTCCGTCCGGGAAGATGCGAGAGTCTGGGCTCCTTGAAAACATTCCTTTGAGATACACCTTAATTATTATATGTAGACTCAGCATCCTGCTTTTCTCCATCCTGAATCCTCTCAGGGTGCACATTGTGGGTGGCTGCAACATCCTTTGTTTACTAACGTGGCGAGCAACATTTTTTATTGATACATGCCAGGGTTAACAACAAAAAAAAAACCCAAACCCCAAAGGGCACAGAAGAGCTTATGGATAAAAATGAAGTTTCCCGCCCTATCTCTCCCATCCCTTAGCCTAGAGCTAGAAGTTTTTTTTTTTTTTTTTTGTGGTTCTCAGGCCCTC